CCGCTCACACTGAGCCTGGTTCTGCTGGAGGTTTCTTCCTGTTAAAAGGGAGTTTTTCCTCTCCACTGTCGCTACAAGCATTTTTAGAGTTAGGTGTCGCCTAATCGGCTGCAATCAGCTAGTTTTTCTTATATAGAAAACTTTGAATCAATTTGACTGCATGATCTGGTGAACTATAAAGTGCTTTGAGATGACATGTGTTGTGAATTGGCGCTATAAAAATAAACAGAATTTAATTAACATTTTTAAATGCTTAAGCCATCCCCACCTTTACGTTTAGATAATACTTGTTTACATGGAGGATAAATTAAGCAGCCAATATCACTTTGCATTAGAGTTGATTTTATATGTGTGGAAATTGCTGCAGGAAAAAAAACAGTTTTTCTTGATCATTAGTCACTTTAAGGTACGAAATTTGGGTGCAGTAAAGATAACTGGAGAAATGTCGAAGGTAGTGGTCGTGAGGGTTCAGTCATGCTGCATATTGTAGGTGCTTCCCTGCTGCCACAGACCTGACTTAAAGGAATGGGTGATTAACCGGCTCCTGCAGCACTCCATCGCTGCTGAGAAGGTAATCCAATCATGTATAACAGCTCTGCTGGAGCAGAAAAGTCCTGATGAGTGCGCTGCAGAATGAATCAAACTTAATATATAGCCACAGCGTGGGTTGTTTCTCATTCAAAAGAGAAGTTTTACTCTTACTTTCGCAAAAAGCAAAATGAATATACATTTTCCCAGCATGTTGGCACTGTTTTCCCATCTAACTTTATTTAATCTCTTCTGTGACAATCGTTTTATCACCGTTTAAATTTTATTCAGTGATATTATGATGCAGCTGAGACAAAAAAAAGAGAGAAAACTCAGTTTCTCTGTTAAACTTTCTGTATCCTTGGCTTTAGGGATCGGAGGGACCGGCATCGCTCCAAGAGCCGAGACAGCAGCAGCCGTGGAGACAAATCGGTGACCATCCAGACGCCTGGAGAACCGCTGCTGGATGCAGAGTCCACCCGAGGAGATGACAGGGTCAGCCTTGCTCAAACATCTCGTTTTATTTTAAAGAAGTTGCCATAAATGGTCAAAGTTTAACCTCAGGAATCATTCATGCTGATTAATCCGACACTTATAGCCTGGATAGAAGTTTATCAGATTCTAAACACAGTTCTGCTTGAGCCCAGGGTTACCCTGCAGTCTTATCTACCTCTCAGAGAAGCCGTGACCACGCAGCTGTCTGCCTTCATAACAAAGACCTGTTGACAGACTTCAGCAAAGTGGGCCACAGGAGTGGGCTCTTCAGCTCCATCAGCGGCTGAATTGTGTTTTGTTGGAGCAGGCATTCATTTGGTTTCAGTCTCTGTCAGCAGGGACAGAGCAGGTGTTGACATTTCGTCCAACAGAGCCTCTAAATACAGAAGACAAATCACTTAGAGTGTAGAGGCTGGTGTTTGTCTCTGGATAAACTGAAAAGGCTTTATTTAAATAGCAGACAGGGTCAATAGAAACCTAACCGCCACTTTTTATGGCAAAAGACATTCAAGGCTTTGTTCTTTTTGACCAAAAATAAAGATAAAAGTCATTTTCTTTATTCCAGATCTTGGATTTAAGGACTTTTTGCCTGAAATTAACAAAAGAATAATTATATTTAAGGCTCCAGGTGTGTTACCAATATGATCAGAGAAATCTCTGTCCCTGTGACGCAGGACGATAACTGGGGGGAGACCACCACTGTCGTCACTGGGACCTCGGAGCACAGCATCTCAAATGAGGACCTCACCCGCCTCACCAAAGATTTGGAGGAGTCGACGCCGCTGGAGTGCAAACGCTTCATTGGCCCGGCGCTGGGAGGCTGTCTAAGCTTCTTCGCTCTGGTCACGCCGCTAGCCTTCCTCATCCTGCCGCAGGTCCTGTGGCGAGATGCCCTGGAGCCCTGCGGGACTCCCTGTGAGGGCCTTTACGTCTCTCTCGCCTTCAAGCTCCTGGTCCTGCTTATTTCCTCCTGGGCGCTGTTCCTCCGCCCTCCCAGAGCCACCCTCCCACGTTTCTTCGTCTTCCGCTGCCTGCTGATGGTGCTGGTGTTCCTGTTCGTGGCGTCGTACTGGCTCTTCTACGGCGTACGGGTGCTGGAGCCCAGAGAGCGGGACTACAGGGGGATCGTGGAGTACGCCGCCTCGCTGGTGGACGCTCTGCTCTTCATCCAGTACCTTGCTCTGGTGCTGCTGGAGGTGCGACACCTGCAGCCGGCTTTTTGCCTTAAGGTGGTCCGGAGCACGGATGGAGCCAGCAAGTTTTACAACGTTGGGCATCTCAGGTGAGTGACTGATCCTGAAAACTGCTTCTTAATACAACTAGCTTGATGCTAAGGCTTCATTCTGTTTGTTTAGAGGTAGCTAGAGTATTTTTTACTCAGATAAAAGTATAAAGAAATGACTCAACAAAGAGGAAAAAAGTATTTGGATGAAAAAAACACTTGAGTACTGAGTAATTACTGGATCATCGCATCTTATTTAATGTTTAGAAACAATGCAGTCTGACTATATGTGCAAATTCTTTTTTATTTAAAAAAAAAAGTAAAACTTGAGTAAAAATTACAGTATCACCAAAAAAATACAAATTCCTGCACAATTTGGAAATTTTTTTCCAAATAAATATTTTCAAAATAAAATGTTTTCTTACTGTGATTAATATATGAATACATAGGAGCAGATCAAAGAGCTTCCACAATGCAAAAAGGATCCAGAAATAACTCAACACTTCTTAAATTAAGTGTATTTACCCT